ACCACACACTCGAGAGTGGCAATGGCATAACTCGTGTCTTATCACTCAGTGGTAGATTACTCGAGTGAGGAGGAGGAGGAGGAGGAGACGAAGGAGGTGAGTGAATTATGCTGACGTTGCATAGGCGTGGTGTGAAATGTCACCTGTGTTTCTGGATCGTCACCATCTCTCAGGTCGACTGTTGGAGTGTGTATGTCGAGGTGTGTGGAAGGTGGTTGGATGAGTAGGGTCTACTTTGAAAGGAGAAGAGAAGGATGAGGAGGAGGAGGAGGAGGAGGAGGCGGTGGTGGTGCTTGATTGTATGGAGGTGTGCAATCACGCGGACAACTCGCAGTGGCATTGATGACTTCGAGTGAGACTCGAACAATCATACAACCGTCATTTCATTTAGTCAGGTCATTTGGGCAGCAAATTGCATTGCACGGTAGGTAAGTTGGTAAGGCGGAAGGTAGACTGGGTGCAGGCAGTGGAATCGATGTGGAGAGAACGCAGTCTCCTCCAAATGAGTGGTTATTGGTGTGACAGTGGTGGAGTATGTGACACTTGTGTTTCTGAGGTGGGGGAGAGGCATTGGGGTGAGAGGGAGTGAATGCGTGTCATTCACCTCTAATGGTTGGAGCTTGAGTGACATCTCCTCACTCCTCCGACTCATAGCAACGCGCATTTCGGTTCGGTGCACAGAAGAGTAGAGTGCGAGGGGAGGCAGGTCACTGTGTGGATGAGGGTCTAATTTTCACACTGCAGAAGACATGTGCACGCGAAAGCACAACCAGACTCCTCCGAGGTGGTGATTCATGCAAAATTCTACTCGCCGTGTGTGTGTGTGTAAAGTGGAGATGGTGCAGCAACGAAGGTAAAGAGATCTGCCAGGCGAATCAATGGATGCGGTGCAGTGGCGTTGAGGCGAGCAGTTTCATCCACTCTGGAGGGACCGCAGACTTTTGGGGGAAATGTAGGGTACAGTTGTACCCACTGACTGTACATGTCGAGTTATTGTGGAGGGTTGATGCCTTCATCAAGAGATGCGCATCTGCACATTTGTTTGGTGATGTGTGGTAGCAGTCGGCATGTGTTGGTGGACGATGCCTTCGTGAATGAGCGGCGAGTATCGAGCAAACACTTTTGGTGTGTGGTTGACTGCCACTGGAAGGACGCCTTCGAATGGAGAATGTGAGTAGATAGGCTGAGTTGGCAGATTGGAATTCGCACAATCGTGTTTAATTAGGAGCAGTACTAGTGGGTGGAGGCAAGGTCCTTGTCTTTGCTCAACTTGGTTAGTGAATTGTGGATGGAAGTAGATGACTGGGCACAATCGGGACACGACAACGTAGGTGGTGAAGAAATGAAACAGTAAATGGAAATTGAGGTGGGCCTAAGGTGTAAACAGATGTACGATTTAACCACATTTTGTCCACTCTCCCGAATTTCTTCCGCCGTCGTTGTGTTA